AATTGGCAAATAATGAGTATATACTAAATATTCTTAAAGCAGGTGACACTCCCTTAAGGCTTCATATGAGTCTGATATCTTGGGGACCAGAGAATAATGAAGAGCCATGGCAATGCAGGACAATCACCCTCTGAAATTCCAGTGGGACCAGTGTATCAGAAAATTCCCCCTTGGGAAACAGCAGTTGACTAGGAGATGAAGGGAAGAATACGTGAGCAAACAGCCCATTGATACCCTCTGCTTTGTCCAGATCAGTGACTCAGCAGAACCTGTGTTCTCCTCCTAACCATGTGCTCCTACCTACTCCCACACACATACTCACACAGCTTCAACACACGCCCTTGCCATGGGAGGGAGGTTGAAATATGACAATCAATGCCAACACATCAATTACAACGTGAACATCAATCCCCAAGGCCTTGTCATTCCTGAAGTCTACAGCTTCCACCACCCTCTCCTTCCCTTGGCTCTTGGGTACTTCTGGAGGTGATGGGTGGATAGCCCCAGCTCGAAATGGGCCCATCTCGAAATGGGCCCATCTCGGTCCAAACAGCAATTTAAACTCTCAAATCTTCTCTTGCTTTTCCTTGGCTCTTGGGTACTTCCAGAGGTGATGGGAGGATAGTCCCAGCTTCAAATGGGCCCATCTCAGTCCAAACAGCAATTTAAACTCTCAAATCTTCTCTTGCAATGAGAAAACTGTGACCATTCTAGCATAAGCTCTCTCAGCTCTCAGGCTTTCTCTATATCACCTTCTCTTCCTCTCCTGTGCTCTCAGAGAAATGTCTTCCTTATTGATCAATGCTACTACCTCTTCTGGCTCTCCTCCGTTTTTTCTGAGACACTGCTCCACCGGTATATCCCCTCCCTCTCTTAAAGAGAAGAGAGATAATTCAGGCAGTTAAAGTCCCACTCTAGCTTGAAAAACATAGTTTCTCATGAGCCTGCTACCCCACTAATAAGATTTGCTGTTTTTTTCAACACCAGAACACTTCTAACACAAAACACGTAGGTTTTTTTTCCCACACCAAAAACCAATTCTCAGTTCACCAACTGGATGTCCAATGATTCCATTCAGCTTTGACTCTAACTTCCTGGAGGTAGTTAGACACCCACAAGTTAAGAAAAGGGTTCTGTCCCACAAGGACTGCCCACACGTCAGGGGACAATTGCAAGTCTAGGAATCCTGTATTTGTGACTAACCAGCTATAATTCAGGGGATCCCATAGCCCCTCCTCGGGCTCAGCAATATGCTAGAACAGCTCACAGAACTCAGAGGAGCCCTTATTAGGACTGGTTTATTCTAAAAGTTACCATAAATGATACACATGAACAGCCAGATGAGGAGCTACAAGGTCTCAAGAGCAGGGGCTTTGTTTCCATGGAGCTTGAGCTGTGCCACCCTCCCAGCACGTGGGTGCGTTCACCAACCCTGAAGCTCTCAGAGTCCCTTTGTTTAGAGTTTTCAAGGAGGTTCCATTTCGCAGGCATGTTAGTTAAATCATGGGCCACTGGTAATTAATTCAATCTCCAGAAGTCAGAGGATGGGGCTAAATGTGCCAGTCATATGGCTGGTTTCTCTGATAACCAGCCCCCAACCTGAAGCACCATAGGGGCCCACACCAGAGTCACCTCATTTGCATATACTCAGTTATGGATAAAAGGGCTTACTAAGAATTATTAAGAATATCAAAAGACCTCTTCTCAATCCAATCACTCAGGAAATTCCAATAATTTTAGAAGTTCTGTGCCAGGAACTGGGGAGAAAGACCAAATACAGTTGAGCTTTGGACAACATGTATTTGAGCTGCACAGGTCCACTTATAAGTGGATTTTTTTCAATAAATACTGTAAATGTATTTTCTCTTCCTTGTGATTTTCTTAATAACATTTTCTTTTATCCACCTTAGCTTATATTGTAAGAATACAGCATATATCACATATAACACAAAATATGTGTTAATTGACTATGTTATCCGTAAGGCTTCCTCTCAACACTAGGCAGTTAAGTTTTGTGTGGTTTTTTGGGGGAGAGGGGGGTTGTCAAAAGTTATATGCAGATTTTTGACTGCATGCAGGGGGGTGGAGATTGGCACCTCTAACAGCTGAGTTGTTTAAGGGTCAACTGTATAAATTTACTATATCACAATATCACACCTATTATGTTTTGATCTTTCTTTCCTCTCCCCACCAACACTCTTGAAAGAGTAATTTGTACCCACCAGTTTCTACCTAATCACCACCCCTCACTTTACTCCCCCTTCTAATATCACCTCTGTTACTTTTGCTCCACGAGAAATGATGTCCTATGAACGTTTGTATCAGATTGCACAATGAAGACTTTTGTTTATAAGCGACATGACTTTGGAAAGAGCAGGAATGAATCTGGCTAGAGCATCATTGCAGTGATTTGTATGGCTATCCATCTGTCTTGTTTCTGTAGCTGTGTGCTGACAGTGATACTGAGCTGTAGAACATTCTGGCCTCACATTTTTCATTGTGTTCTCCAATCGGTTGAAAAAATATAAAGGACAATATTAACCTGCCTGAGTCAGTCAAACGCCTCTTAACCCATTCACTGTGACACGGGGAAGCTTTGGCAATGGGGTCAGCCTAGGTCCTGGGTCTACAAAGCTGGCTACAGTGGGGTGGTATCTGATGTTAGAAGAAGCTGGGGAACCACATACACAGCTGCTGATTAAATAATGAACTGTGCTGCCACCATGATTTGTATCTACTAAATAGAGATGTAATGCTGAGAACTATGCAGAATAAAATAGATGGCAGGATTGGGGTCATTATCAAAATCACACAATCATTAAGGCTGAGCAGAAATATTAAGATATACTTGTATTTCCAGCCAAATATGTGTTTAATACCTCGTATCAAGTGGGCCTCAAGAGTTGCCTGAGCTGTTTTGAAGGTATGCCCAGTAGGGCCAGGTGTCTCTGAATAGTAACTCCCCCCACCTGTTGCTCCTTTGCCGTTGGAAAGCTCTTTTAATTTCAAAATCTCTCAAATCAAGCATAAGCCCCTATAGTTGCAAGTTAATACCACTGGAAGGAGTAGTTAGCAAATAACCCCGAACAACTAGCCCAGCCAGCAACAGAACCAGAAAACTACTGGGAACTTGGGGGCCAGTGGACGGGAGGAGGGGGAGGAGCTATAGGGGTAATATGGCTTCGCCAGTTTGAATTTAGCACCCAGGAATATCACACAGCAGGACAGGGCTTTAAAGTTTCCTAATATCCCAATCATCAGAAAGGTGGGGCTAAGAAGATTTGTTGAGGAATTACCACGTGTCAGATGTGCTAAATATAAGCATATCTCCCGTTTGGGGTTATTGTGTTCTACAGATGTTGCATTTTTTTACAGCTTGAAGGCCAGACCCACCATCAGCAAAAGGGTTACTACTCACTTGATTGCCATACTCGCTTTATTGCAGTGGCCTGGAATCAAACCTGCAATATCTCCGAGGTATGTCTGTACTCCCTAGGGTTTAGTTCAACACATTTTACAAATAAGAAAACAGTGTCAGAGAGCGAAAGAGAGCTGCCTGAGTCTGCACAGCTTTGGGATTTTTGCCCAAGCCTATCTGCCTGGTTCCAAAGTGCTGAAGGTGGGCAGTTAATAAATAGGAAACCATGTCAGAAACTAGTTTCTTTGTGTGTTTTTTTGCCTTCCAGGGTGGTGTTCTTTCTATGGAGTATGCCATCTTCCTTGTCTGCCATAATGTTGAACAAAGCATTTGCACAAGAGCAACATGCTTTGTTCTCTTTACAATGTCGTGAGATAGGCAGGAGGTGGACAATTGTCCCTATCTAACAGCTACTAAAGGGTCCAAAACTCTGAAAGAATGAACTTGGCCCCGTATGGATGTCATTCTAACCAGCCGTATCCAGCCCGTTTGAAATGAATAAAACTTAAGAAAAAAAATAAGACCGTACCCTTTTATGTAATGATGTTTACTTTGAATTTATATTAGTTCACACAAACACTCCATCCATGCTTTTGTTCCGGCCCTCCGGTCCAGTTTAAGAACCCATTGTGGCCCTCGAGTCAAAAAGTTTGCCCACCCCTGAGACAGAGGAAGATATAAACGAACAAAGCATTTGCACAAGAGCAACATGCTTTGTTCTCTTTACAATGTCGTGAGATAGGCAGGAGGTGGACAATTGTCCCTATCTAACAGCTACTAAAGGGTCCAAGACTCTGAAAGAATGAACTTGGCCCAGTATGGATGTCATTCTAACCAGCCGTGGGCAAACTACGGCCCGCGGGCCGGATCCAGCCCGTTTGAAATGAATAAAACTTAAAAAAAAAAATAAGACCGCACCCTTTTATGTAATGATGTTTACTTTGAATTTATATTAGTTCACACAAACACTCCATCCATGCTTTTGTTCCGGCCCTCCGGTCCAGTTTAAGAACCCATTGTGGCCCTCGAGTCAAAAAGTTTGCCCACCCCTGTAACCCAGCAGGGCTGGGGCCCTGGAGACACCTTGCTTTGGCTTTTAGTACAGAAACTTCATTATCCACAGAGAAGACATTCCTAGACCCCCCAGTGGAGGCCTGAACCTGGGTAATACTGAACACTACATATACTATGTTTTTTTTCTACTCATTCAGACCTATGATAAAGTTTAACTTATGAATTGAGCAATTTATAAATAGGAGATTCGTTCTTACCACAGATCTCAGCCACTTCAGCACACGTTGTTTTTCTTTCCTTATTAAGTCGAGAACTTTCAGTTAAAGGAAGTTTCTTGTTGGCTATCGGAATGGCCAGCGTCACTACTCTTGCACTTTGGGGCCGTTATTAAGTAAAATAAGGGGGACCGGTACACAAGCACCACGCTACCTGCACGGTGGATCTGATGACCGTGAGGCGCGTGAACAGCGTGCGGACGCCGGGCGGGGCGGAGGAGACATCGCGAGATTTCATCATGCTCCTCAGAACGGCGCAAGTAAAAACTCAGGAATTGCTTATTTCTGGAATTTTCCATTTAATATTTTTGGACCATGGTTGATGCGGGGGTACTGAAACCGCAGAAAGAGAACCTGCAGAGAAGGGGGGACGAGTGTGATTGGCGTTCCCATAGCTCAGCCGATACTAGAACCAGCACCAGGCTGGGTGGTTTCTAGTGAACTCACTCCCCTCCCCTCCCCTCCCTGTTTTTAGCTTTAATTCCTCAAGACTGTTTTATATTCGGAGCCCTGACCTTATTTTCATAAAGAAAAATAGTTACATTAGGATTGAGTGACTCTGTCTGCCTCGTTCCTCATCTCAAACGGTATGTCTACATTATCAAGTAAATTAAAAGCCATCCATTATATGTACTTGCATTATGGAAACTCGTTTAAAATTCTGTTTAGCACACATTTGCAGAACTTGTGCTGATTCGATGAATGCCACATTGACCAGTCAGGTGTAAATCAGCATTTTGCTCTGAGGAATAGTTAGGGCTGGCCAACCTGTGAGGGTTCTGGGGAGGGGGGT